TTTGAGACCCAGTGCTGCCCCAGGTGCAGCCGGCTGGGGAGGGACTGTGGGAGGTTGGCTCCAGGGTGTGTCCAGACCGTCTTGCCCAGTCCCGCCCTGCTGGCCACCTTCTAATTAATTTCCTTTCATTGTGCATGAATCTGTGCACCGGGCCTCTAGTCATTTGAATAAAGAGTCCACCAATATCAAGAATGGAATGACTTTTAAGGGAGAAGGTAACATTCTAAATAGAGAAAGGAACTAAATGGGAATAGCTACAACAGGGGTCCTCAAACTACAGCCCACGGGCCACATGCAAATACAAATATTGTATTTGTTCCTGTTTTGTTTTTTTATTTCAAAATAAGATATGTGCAGTGTGCATAGGAATTTGTTCATAGTTTTTTTTTAAACTATAGTCCGGCCCTCCAACGGTCTGAGGGACAGTGAACTGGCCCCCTGTTTAAAAAGTTTGAGGACCCCTGAGCTACAAGGATCATTCCCCCCCACACTTTCTGTTAGCTAAACATTACAAACAAATCATTCTTTGTTAGAGATGCCCTCATATAAAATGGTTTTATCTTTGTTTACATCTATTGAGTTGAAAAAAGAAATAACATTTAATTACATTTACTTAGTGAGACCCCAAGAATATATCATTTTACAAATATGATCCATATACTTTATAAACAATCCATGACTTATTGGAATTATATAGTCTAACTAAAGGGTGTGTCCCCCAAAATGTACGCACACTTTAATGGCCAATAGCTCAATTTTGAAAATGAAATGTATGTTAATAAACACTGCCTTTATAATTATTCAAAGTGTATGTATACATTTTTTGGGACATCCTATATTTGTTCTGATATGTTAATAAGATAATTTTGCCACAAAATGCTGCTGCTGATGAGGCTACAGACTTAGGGTAACCTTGTACGTACACTAACACCAATGTTAGAAGCATTCTAAGCTATTATAAAGATGCTAACGTATGCAAAAAGAGAGCTGCTGTTTTGTATATGGAAAAATTAAATCATAGTACATATGATGAAATAAATGAAATATCAATACGATGAATTTTGCTTTCATAGTATAATTTTTTGGTAGGCTGCATTATTGCTAAATAACAGGAAGCAAGTAATTCACTGAACATACTAAAGCTTGAGTAAATTTAAAGGTGGTGTTCCCAAAATTTTTAAGTGGAATAAAGGATTAGAGAGGAAGAAAATTCATGTATAAAAACAAAGTGCTAAGGGAGGACCTTCCTTTTTCTTAAAATAATTTCATGGTTGCAATATTTGACTGTGAAAGCTGGTCCAACTTTGCACAAGGCCTTAAATGTGATTTTTAATAAAATAAAGGGGTGGGCAAAAGCAGGTTTATAGCTGTGAGTATGTGAAACACAGTTTATTCTTGTATTATTATTCCCTTATTAATTATTGCATTATTTATTATTAACCTACTTTTGCCCACCCCTAAGTTTTTCTCTCTAAAACATTAGAACTTCATAAGATTTACCTTTTAAAATTCAGAATTTACTCTACATGGAGCATTTATAGGTCTAAATTGATGATGGCCAAAGGGGATGACTATTTCTTTTCTCAGCACCTGATATATGCAGGTAACATTCTCCTCTTTAAATGTCAGGGTCTCCATGACCTCATGCACAGGTTTATTAGAGTAACTGTCCTTTCTCTTCACCAAAGACCTTTTCCTCATTACTATAGGTACTTCAGCCCTAAAGAAATCCACTATTTGTTTTTAGGTTGGCTCTATTCTGTCACTGAGAAAAGAACTTTTATCAGCCAGACTGTATTCATATGCTTGCCAACATATTCTCATATAACATGTATTAATCATATATCAATAAATTAAAGCCTTTAAGTTAAGATAAACTAGAAAATTTTCAAAATCTCATCTGTTTATGATCATCAGAACCTTCAATTAGAAATATTTCCTTGTGACAGGTTTCTCTAAGCCCAGTTTCTCAGAAAAATCATGTAAAAGTTTTTAAACAGATGAACAACATTATTGGAAGGGAGACATCTGTGAGAGGTGGAGATTGAATCTAGAGGCAAGATACTGAATATGTGAAAATGTTCTAAATTCTAAACTTAAATTACAGGTGAGAAAATAAAAACAGTATATGGCATTGAGGAACACTAAAGCTAGACTGAATAAGAAGAGGGAAGGAAGTGCTAGATCTAACCACAAGCTATCACTCTGGCTCCAGCACCACAAAGCTGGTTTCTTAGCATTCTGGCCCCCTTCACAGCCACACTGGACAGAAATGCTATCAATGGTGTTGGTAATACTGCAAAGGGAGGGAGCGGAGCGTAGGATAAATGAAGATTTCAAAAAAAATTTTTTATGTTGAATTTTTACTTTACCATTAGATAACTGGACAGATATCTAATCAATCAATCAATCAAGTAATCAATCCTATTTATGAACTGATGTGATTTTTTTTCACAATATATTCACTAAAGAAGTAAAATATGTTGTGAGTTCCTAACAGACATCTTGTAAACCAGAAGCAATGCTGTCGGAAGAAGAGAGACTGAGGTTGGAAAGACACGTGGTAGTTTGCAAATAAATAATAATAGATCGTTTATGTAACATGAGGAGCTCCCAGGTCCAGAAGCAAAAAGGGAAAGGGAAATCAAATGGTAGTCTGAGGCATGCCCTGTTATCCCTGAAAGGAAGCAGGGGAAAGTGTCTGAAGTAAGATACTAGAGAGGATGAAAAGACATGGCCTTCAACCTGAGATCCAAGCAAGATGTCAGGTTTTGTGGGAACCTATTTTATATGAGTCCAACCACAGAGACCGGCTGCTCTCTGCCACCAGCCTGAGCTGGGAGACCTCCACCCCCCAAATCTACTACTGCTCAGTGTCCATTCTCCACCCAGCCAGACCCCAGTCCAACTTCCCAATCCTTGGTAGCTCCTTCTCGACTTTGCTCTTGGCATCCTGTGTCCAGACCTAACAACAAAACCCATTTTTGGCTCTGCAGCTCTGCCTGTGGGTCTGACCCAAATCTTATGCTTGGTTCCTGCAAGGCCTCAGTTCTGGGTCAGCTGTGTTCCCAAAAGGCAGCAATATTCTGCCATGAGATCTGGGTTCCAAGACAGCCCCTGACTCTTCCCAACTGCAAAGGCTGGACTTGTATGGTGAGTGCAGCAGTGAGCCCGAGGCCTGGAGTGCGGCCTGCCCGGTTTCCCAAAGCCTCTGCCCTGGCTGGGAACTCAATGACAAACATTAACTAACCTAACTAACCCACGTACTTGCCTAAGGGAGGGGGATAAGTTCTTACTGAAAATATCTGCAAGGAGCTCTCTTATTCCAGCCCAAAACCTGGGATAGGAGGCAGAGGAGTTGGCATGTTTAAGTCTTTTAGACATGCCGAGTTCCCCTGGCTTATCTTTGGTCAGATCATCTATTCCTGGTTTTCCTCCCACTTCCATGGACACTCTTGCTTAATCCCCTTTGTACCACCTTCACCCAGCTTGGCCCTAGGACTTTTTCATCAATCACTGTTCACCTACCCTAGGAAATCTCCTCTACTTCCCAGCTCTAGTTTGCTTAAAGTTACACATTTATCAGTGTGAAGTTTATACAGCATCTCCAATCTAGATTTCCTTTTGTGTCCAGACCCACATGTACTTCTGTCTATTTGATCTCTCCTTGGATATCTTAAAATGTCCTCAAATTCAACATTCAAAACTGAACTCTCCATTTCCCCCAAGGCCAGTGCCCTTCAGCATTCTCTGCCTCAGTGAATGAGCCCGGCATCTATCCAGCTCCACAGCCAGGAACCTAGGGTCCATCTGGACACCTCTATGTCCCTCGCCTCCCACATTTAGTCTATTCCCAAGTCTTTCAGAACTACTGCATCTACTCGTCACCACCTTCACTTCTACTAATGCCCAGAAACTGGTCAGGGTAAAAGTGCTAAAAGCTAATCATTATCAAAGGTTTATTATATACCAGGCAGGTGGTCTTAAAACTTTATGTGAATTATCTTTTCTAATCATTCTGTGTATTAGTTTCCTAATAATATTCATTACTAGACTATCCTACACTGAGCTGAGCCAGCTCAGTCAAGGGTTCAAAAGCCTGAGTGAGGGCGGCGAAAGGATGAAGAAATGACAGACAGAGAGAGTAAGCTGGGTCTAGGTGGATCTTCCTGTGCATGGCTAAGGCCACAGAGAGAGATCCAGAGGCAAGTTGAGCCTTTATTTTATAGCCAGAGGTAAACAACGTAGTGGTCACCATAGTTACAATGTTCTTGTGAGTTTCACTTGTTTTGGCAGCACTTGCTACATCTCCCACAGCCCATTAGCTTCCCAGACAAGATCTAGGGAGCATCATAAGGTCAAGCCTAATTATGCTAAGAGGACTGTGCCCTCTAAGCTGGGACTTGTTTGTGGCTTTGCCAACAGGTCAGTCCGAGGCTTAACCCTATAGCCACGCCCTACACTACACCACTAGTGTTATCTTGCAAAATTATGGAACAGATCCAGTGCATGGCATGATGCCTGTATATACAGAGAGAAATGCCAATTTGTTCCACTTAGTTATGCATTCGTTGGTGGCTTCTTGTATGTGTCCTGACGGGGGATTGAACCTGCAACCTTGTAGTATCTGGATGATGCTCCAACCAACTGAGCTACCTGCCAGGTTCTTTAGTAAATTTTTTTATTACTTACTTTTTGCTGCCATTAAACCCATTTCTCTTGTCCTTGGTGATATGAGAATATAGACAGTTACATGATTCTATATATTTAACTTTCATGTACCCTAAAGCATTTAATGGTAATTGACTATGTACTACCTTTTATAAACAATAAAAACAATTTTTGTGCTTCCAGAATATTGCTATTGTGCGTTAGTGTCTATATATATGTACACTGCTATAAGGTCCATATCTGTTAGACTTATAACAACATACAATAAAATAAAATATAATAAAACAAAAATGTAAAGTGGGAACACTTAAACATTTAGTTCAACTTACTTCTAATGCTGTGTCATGCTCTCCAGCAGCCAAGTGTGCTAAGCCCAAGTAATAGGAAGCTTCCCCTTCCATCTTTTTGTCATTTGCTAAAGTGAAAATACAGAAAATTATTGTGGCTTTAAAGAAATTTATTCATTACAACAAACAGAATATTTGCTTTTAAGACAGTAGACAGTTATAGCAAAGTATACACATTTATCAACAATCCCTGAAATCTGTTTTCTGTTAAAAAAAAAAGTCTGTTGCTTCACAATTTACCTGAATCACAGATGTTAAAGTGCATAAGTAATATAATCACGAGGAGTTATCCTCGACATGCACAGACCGGTATTATCATTTTGAGACTCATGTATAATTTCTATGCTGTTCCACCATGTAAAGACCTATAGTCGTCCAGCATGGCTGCTACTACACACATCAAATAATCAGTTAAGAGAACCAACATCAACATTACATGATGCATACACAAACATGCATACACAAAACTGATATTGAGCTAAGTCTCTAACAGGGCAGATAATTAGCAAATTCAGGAATTATTTTTTATTAGGTTCAATTTAAAAGCTATTGGTTAAAACTTGGATGAGAGTGACTGAAAGAGTCATTTTTCTTTGTTTTTCATCTTCTTTTCACAAGGAATTAAACCTTCCTTATTTCTGTGTAATGTGCTTTATCCCAGGAATTATCAAATTCTCTTTTCCAAAAGTAGAATGTGTAAACATGCAACATGTGGTCCAATAATATATACATCATACCATCTCATAAACATAATTTACTCACGTTTAATATACTAAATATAACATTTACATAAGATATACTTACAAAAACCATTCAAGATGCTTAAACATGAAAAGAATACTATCCTTCTACTTTTGGAAGTCATTGGCTTTCAGTGTCACCTAACTAACTCCTAGGTAATGCAAATGCTGACAGGTGCACCCTCACTTTTGATCTTTAGAAAGTAAGTATCCTTAGATTTCTGAACTCTGCGTTCCCACCATGATGGATGTCAGCAGGAGCCAGCAATTCTCTGTGCTGCTTTCACGCTCAGCACTCAGTGCATTATCCCTCATGAAGCGTGTCTCGTTTGGAAGACTGCAAGAAAACAGGACTGCAAGTGCCAGTGGCTGTATTTTTTTCTTCTCTAGCCATTACACCAATTGCAGAGAATTATAAGATTTCTGTTCAGTGGAGTTGATGGGACCAGTAGATCCAGTCTGGAATTTTAACTCTTAAAATTCACCTGGGCACTAACTTTTCCTCTAGAATAGGTTTATGAGTGATGGGATAGGAATGAGACTAGGGAAGAGAGGGGTGGGGGCAAAAGGAAGAGGCTGAGAAGGGAAGTGGCCCTGGAATGATTAAAAGTTGGTTATATGTGACTTGCTGTGTTAAATAGAGTAACTGCATTAAACCACTAACCACAGCATGCACTGAGGTATTACTATCATTTGCATCTATTTTTTTTGTAAAGGGCATCCCAGCAAAGAGGAGGAGAGGAAGAAAATCTACTCTGGTTGATAGATTTTGAGCAGTGATAGATCCTGATTTCTGGGCCCGAGGATGAGGCCCAGGATTTTAAAAATATTCCCAGGTGATTCTAATGTGCAGCCAAGGTTGAGAACCACTGATTTTGAGGCAGCTAATTTAAACAGCTGGGTCACATCAAATATTAGTTTTAAAATGGGATTTAAGCATAAAATTTTTTCCTGTTTACTAGTTCAGAAAAAGTTAAGATAAAGTGAAAGCAATGAAAGAATGGAGGGAAATGTCAGCGCTATTAAAGTTGAGTGACACATCTAGCAAAGGGAAAAATACTATTTATATTGTGTAGTTTGAGTGGGTTGAATTAATATTGGCTTTGCTCTCTAAATCAATAATCATTTATCTTAAAGAAAATACTGTTTTTATTTTCAAGATTCTTGATGGGAACCATTCTTTCTTTGTGAACGACCTTACAATTTAGCATAGGGGAACCTAAAGCAAAATACCTTTTCCTAATTGATATTTTCATTGAAATTCCACATAACTTTCCAGGTAACTAAAGTCAGCTACTGCAATTGATCTAAGAGCTAACTATTTACATCACGGTTTACCCCTTTGGGGAAGGTACTAGATCACCATTCATTCAAAAGTAGTTCATGCAGTGAAATACATCTTTCAAAAGCGGGGTGGGGGATGTTTTCCTATGGGTATTCCAACTAATATCATTAAAATACATAATAGAGACAATAAGCTAAGATGTTTACTTTTGCTCCTTAGAAAATTAAAATTACACCCAGAAAAATCAGTCTTGCTTATTCCAAATAAAGCCATCTGTTATTCCAATAGAGCAAATATATCCACAAGCCAATAAACTTCAGGTCAAGAGCATACTTTTTATCTTTTTTCCTTCATGAAAAGGCTACTCTATTAATATATTACTATCCATAATAATAAAAGTATAATATGCAAATTGACCGAATGGCTGAACAGCAGAACGAACATCCAGACTACCACGCTATGACACCCACTGGTGCCAGGCCAGCCAAGGCGGGGTGCGATGCGATTGGTTGGGGGCCCAGCCATCGCCCCATGATCACCCCGCAGAGGGAGGCCCAGGCCACCGACCAGCGGGCTGTGGTGTGTGGGCGGGGCCTCCTTCTGCGGGGTGATCAATCATGGGGCTCCCCGACTGTGAGAGGGCACAGGCTGGGCTGAGGGACCCCCCCCCGCTTCCAGTACAGGAATTTCATGCACCAGGCTGCTAGTATGGTAATAAAATACCCTTGCATTTCACAAAGTAAAAGCTTGTGAGTATACTAGTATGCTCCACAATTTTTAAATACTTTATATGTATGCAAATGATACAGAATATCAGGGATCCCCTTTTGCAAAGGTGTTTCTACTGCTGTAATGTGAATGTGAATCACCTGAGGAACTTGCTAACCTGCAGGTTCTGATGCAGGAGGTCCCAGGTGGGGCCCCGAGTTGCTGCTTTACCTACAAGCTTCCTGGTGATGCTGATGCTGCCAGCCCAAAGGCCACACTGTGACAGGCAAGAGTCTACAATATATTAGAGTTCTATTTTCCTGTTACTCCTAATATTTATCAAATCTTCCCTATTACCTGACAATGGGGAATTTACAAACAATGAAAGGTCTATCAGATTATGAGAATAATAAGACCTTAAACACACACACACACACACACACACACACACACACTTAACTTTTGCAAATGACCGTACTTTCTCATTATGGGTTCATTGTTTTACAACACTCCTCCCGGAAGGTTGTAATTTTGGAGATAAAGCTTTCAAGAAACTAATGGATTTCTTGTTGTCAGCACTAAGGCTCCTCTGTTTTACAGTGAAATTTGAAAGGATATTGATGGCATTTGTCTTTGCATTTCATAGGAAATAATCACCCAAACACTTGACGATGTTTATGTCTCTCTTGGGAGAAGCAGCGTCTGCCCATTAAAGGAAGCCGTGCGAGAGTGTTCTTTCCCACTTACCTTCTTTGGCTATTTCAGAAGCTTTTATTAGAATTCTGATGGCCTGTGTGTAATCTTTATTTTCCAGCATTTTGTCGGAGAGTAATCTGTACGTCCTCAGGAGACTCTCGCAGGACAACAAGTTGAGAGAGCGGCCTGTCTCATCCCTCCACTTCCGCCCTTGCGTCAATTGATGGAACGCTTCATAATGCTCGGCAGCTTCCAGAAGCTTACCTGAAGAATAAGAGCCATTCATAAATATAAACCACGGGCCAGAACATACTTTCAAAAATTTTGCGTACATCTTATGTTTTACTATTAAGGGGGTGGGGGAGAGCGTGAAATATATTCAAGGGTTTCTAAGACTTACGCTGGAAAGGGAGCTGTCTCGGTGTGGACCTCAGATACAGCACTGATTCTGGTTGGACACTTGCTAGAGGGATGCACTTTGCTAGTAGAAACTGACTAGGATGACCGATGTTTAGAGAGAGTGTGAAAGTCCACTAATCATTATTAATCAGCATCACACTGGCTAACATTCATTTAACATTACATACGCAAAGCACGGAGTTATGTGCTTTATATGCATTTCTCAATCTTCAGAACAGTCACGTGGACTAGACGTATGATTCCATTTTACAGAAGAGAAAGTGAGGGTAAGAACTTTGCCCAAGATGGCACGTGTGGTGGGTGCGTAGATCCAGGCAGTCTGACTCCGGCGCCCAGGCTCCGCACCACTGCCCTGCACTGCTCTCCCACCAGGCGGCATTCTTCATTCTCAAGAAGGATGCTGGTATCTTGAGAAAGGATGCATCCATTAGAACTTTCAAATTCAAATATTATGGGTCTTCTCAAAGTTGACAGAACTTTCCACGCAGGCATTTGTGTACATAATTCTGTTTAATTTTGAATAATCAAAATGTAACGTAACTGCCTTTCTGGATTACATTCCCCAATCTCGTCCAACTATATCTTCTCAAAGCCAAAACTCTAAATTAGCTTTGAGTCATTTCATTCCTTGAAATGTGAGCAAGCCCATTTCTGGAAGAGCAGCTTGCAGCTCCCTGCTGTGGATTGCGTTTTACTTGTGAATTGCCTTGTGGAAATGTTCACCCCGCCCTGTAATGTAAATAATCTTTTATTGGAGTTCCCTAATTGAAATAAACTGGAAAAGCACTTTTATCCAGGAGTTCAAACAGAAGTGGTTAAGGATGAGTCCAAACAGCCTGAGTTTCTATCCCAACTTTATTTTATCATTTTTTGCTGTTGAGCCTCAGGCTAATTCCTACCCTCCCTGTGCCTGAGTTTAATTCTTCTGTAAAATACAATTATAGTGGAACTATTCAAGATGTTTTGTGAGAAATTAATGTGAGTTCAATACCTGATGCAGAGTATGTGCTCAACAAACATCGCTACTGTTGACATAGTGAAAATAGTTTTTAAAAATCCAAATGGTTGATTGAAATATAGCCACTAATTTGTTTTTTTAAATTAAATATATTTTATTGACTTTTTACAGAGAGAAAGGGAGAGGGATAGAGAGTTAGAAACATCCATGAGAGAGAAGCATAGACCAGCTGCCTCCTGCACACCCCCCACTGGGGATGTGCCCGCAACCAAGGTACATGCCCTTGACCAGAATCGAACCTGGGACCTTTCAGTCCGCAGGCCGACGCTTTATCTACTGAGCCAAACCAGTTAGGGCACTAATTTGTTTTTTAAGTACAATTTCCTTTTCCTGCAAAAGACACAGTTGAGTCCTTATTACCATGTTATTGTGGCTGATTAAATTAACCCTGTTTAGATCATATCAGGTTCAATGTATTTCCTCAAATAGGATTCACTGGATATTACAGGTTGGATATTACCGGATAGTGTAGCCACTGCCAAGACTATGACATATAATTTCCTCCTATTTTTGCACCAAATTTGTTACCTAACATTACCAATATTAAAGCATTAAAGAATGCACACATAAAAAAGAATAGCATTCACACAGAAACACAAAAGAAATGGATAATGTCCAGTCTGCCAGTCTGCGTGGCTCAGTGGTTGAGCATCGACCTATGAACCAGGAGGTAATGGTTTGATTCCCAGTCAGGGAACATGCACAGGTTGCAGGCTTAAAACTCAGTGGGGGACGTGCAGGAGGCAGCCGATCAATGATTCTCTCTCATCATTGATATTTCTATCTCTCCCTCTCCCTTCCTCTCTGAAATCAATAAAAATATTTTCGAAAAGAGAGATGGTCAATGAGCAAATAATCTGTACCCAAATTCAGTAAAGACGTGGCCTGTCTGGACCCTGCTGTGTCATGCAGAGGAGGGCATATGAGCAAAGACACAGACAGACGGGAATGTGTACTGCAGAGATGTTTATAAACTTACTATGAAATTTTCACATGATAAAAGACTGCAAAGATGATATTATAAAGACTATAAGTATGATATTATATAAGAATATTTCATTACATGGCCTGGTGTTAATATTGAAAAGCATCAGAAAACATTTACAAAACATTATCAGTGTTATACAGGTGAGGAATGGGTTTTTCCTGCTTTTATTTTTTCTCTCTTATAACTGTCATTTCCTAATGTTTCTATCAGCACATTATGTCCATTTGTAATAAGAAGTATACAATAGGAGCTATTTTAAAAATAATGCCCAATCCTTTTTCATTTTTGATACAAATACTCAAGGTTGAAGTTCACTGCTCTAATCTATCTTTACATTTAACCGACAATTTTTCTTTACCTCCCAAAAAGCAGCATAGTTTGTCATCTCTCTCCTTAGCACCTCTCACCAGAAACACCTTTCTCTGAATACCCATGACCCTCATTCTTTAAGAAACTCGAATGAAGCATTGACATATATGTGTGCTATGTTTCCTCTGTTAACTATATTTCTACCTGTAAAGTACAGCTCTGCCTCCCTGGGAAGATGTATACAAGAGTTCTTTTTTCCTATCCAGCATCCATCTATTCACAAAGCATAGACACATATTTCTCTTTGGCCATGTGAACAGGAGATGGTGGATACAGGGGACTGTGAGTAAACCAGAAAGTCCAGAAAAAATTGGGACTGTAAGGAAACTAGGAAAGCCTTAACAACATCGAGGGTCACATACAGTAACCAGATGGAAAGAGGGTCCAAAGTTGTGTTATAAAATAACAGATTTGCTAAGAATTTTAGGAGGAGAGCCAGGAGATGAAGCTTTGGTTAACTTAACTAATTACAATGACATGCAAATGAGGTCTAATGAAGCAAATAAAATATGAGAGTTGATAGTCATGTTCAATATTTGATTTGCAAGGGGACAAAAAGGGGGAGGGGAGGGGAAGGCAGAAAGTGGGGAAAGGAAAGGTGGAGGAAATGGGGAGAGGGGTGAATGTGGGGAAGAGTGAAGAAAAGGTGGGGACTGTGTCCTTGTGTCCCACATATCCCAGACTTCCCTGGGTCACCGATGCCATTAGGCATCATGCACAGGCTGTCTAATCAGGAATGAGATAAGGGAGGTACTTGGGACATTGGTGTTGGCCGGTTGCAATGAAAGGCGGCCTCTGAATTACTGAGAATAGTTGTTTTCGATTGAGCTCGATTTTTGCTGGGGCTTTGGGGCTAGTAGTGCTTAGCTCCTGATGACTGGCCAAGATTCAGTTCTCAGAAGAGACTACTTGAGGTGTCCCACAAGGAGGATCCTGGTTCAAGACGCTCAGGTAAAAGAGAACAGGGAACTATTCTCCCCTGCAGGCCTGCTAGGTGCTAGTCAAAATAGAAAGCTTCCCCATCCCATACATTGTGATTTAACGTTCAAAAAACTGGTGAAGTAATATTACTCTTACACTAAAGAGAAAGCTTGAGGTTCACAAAGGTTAAATGACTTAAATGGCTAAAAACGGATGTTTAGGATTTAAACCCGGGATCACAAAAACAAGTGCAGCTTCATACCACCATATCCCATGCTAGTCAACAAACCAAGAGTCAGGACTTTAGGTGGGGTAAGTTATATTTTCTGGACATAAATCTCTCAAGTAAAAAAGTAATGCTTAAATTGTGTGATTTCTAGTCTCTTCCCATTCTATAACTGTGACTATACTCAGATAATCAAGGTCACCTCTAACATAAAAGCACAGGTGTTAGCCTCTGATGGGCTTCGGATGTGACCTACATCTAAATTTCTTACTTCCCTGAACCACGTGGTGACATCTGTGGGGGGCACCTGGAATTCCTCAGGTGCCCCAGACTTAGTCACCTGTGGTCATACCTAGCTGATCACGGTTTCACTGTTCCTTAATCACTTTGCCACAGATGAGCTCACTGGGGATTCTGATCAGCATTTTACACCAAAGTGCCTACACAGAGGAAGTAGAGTTTTCCAGTCCTTCTCAGATGTAGGGATTCATTTCTAAAATCATTCGTAGGTAAAGAGGTCAGTAAATAAGCCAGCAGGGACTTGATCTAAATGACCATAAGCACATAAAGGGCGTGGCTAAAACTGCTAAAGGCTGGTCAGATTGAAAGTGCATATTATATAAAATAGTTATATGAGAGATGTTTGATTTAAAATGTTAAAATATACATCTATCCTATAAAGGGACTATAGTCATCTAAATATGCAAGTATTTCCCTTTAAGCATGATTAACAATGATATGATTTCCATCCAATTTATATTTCCAACTGTGCATAGGAATTTTAAAGATTTTATTACTTTCTGAGTAAAGACTCTGATATTGAGACTACATATTTATTAAGACATAATACATCTTGTTTTGAAATTTAAATTTAATAGAAATACCTTAAATGGTCATCAATAGAGTGCTCATTTTGACAAAGCTAAATATAAATGAAGATCATGAACTAGATTTTTCCACTTTGGCTCATAGCATCCCTTTATAGCATCTTCCAAGTCTTCATATACAGCCTATTACACTTTGTCATCAAATAAACTTAAAAAAAATAAACTTTAATGTATTAGAACCAGGACAGATTTTCAGATTCTACCATCAATCTCATTGAAGGACAAGGATCTAGACAACTGCCCTTTTCTGGAATTATCAAATACCAACATTATTTCCTATTGAAGAAGAGGTCAGAGAGAAGAATGATTACACCAAGGTCTCACAAAAATAAAAGTTAACTGGAATAAGGACAGAAAAGAGAAGGCCTCGGGAATAGTCATAGATGTTAAAAGTCTCCTGAATTACCAGCAGATACTCATCATCACCGTGAGCAA